ATTCGGTTCAGATATAGCTATAGCTCCCATATATATGTTTCATCCGATTTGGGGTTAAAAGTGACTCACATGCGTAATATGCACTCCAGAAGAATGATATTTGGTACTGGACATCAGATACTGCTCGAAAAAACTATGTCAAATGTTGTCGAGATCGGTTCAGATTAGGATATAGATCCCATATATATCTTTTTCCGATATCAGTTTTCTTGTGCACCAAATGACTGATATCAGCCTGGTCTGAAATTTGGTTACTACGACTGAATTCATCCTTTTAACCAGTACTTCAAATTTGGTGTAAATCGGTGCAGATATAGCTATAGCTCCATATGTAAGTTTTATCCGATTTGGGGTTTAAATTCCCTCACAAGCGTAATATGCATTCCACAACAATGATCTTTGGTACCAGCTATCAGATACAGCCCTGAAATAAATGTATCAAATCTTGTCAAGATCGGTTCAGATTTGGATGTAGCTCCCACTTAGTTCAAGCGATTTTGTGCACCAAATAGCCAATATCAGTCAAATGTCTGGAATTTTGGTACATCCGACCGAATTCAGTCTAGAAGCAAGGACATTGAATTCGAAGAAAATCGTTTCAGATAAAGCTATAGCTCCCACATATATGTTTCATCCGATTTGGTGATTAAGGCCCTCACATTCGTAATATGCATTCGACAACAATGATATTTGGTACCAGATGTCTTACAGAACTCGGAAATACCTCTGCCACGTTTTATCTATATCGGTTCAGATTAGGATTTGGATATGGTACTAGAAAAAGAGCAACGAATTCTCTTATTTTTAACCACAGGTAATATTATTCAATGTTTTGACCATATGTCGAGGTTAAAGGGTTACCAGAAAAGGGTGGACCAATATTGTCAATTTTCTCACCGTAACTAAGTCTTATATGAATAATACGATTATCCAATTTTGAACTATATCAGATACTACTATCATTGATAAAAGATTTGTATTTTATACTGCAAAATATTGAATGTTTATTGGTGAGATAAAAAAACTGCAACAAAGTCAAACGCCATGAGTTTTACATTTTTTTTTTCAAAATTTTATTGAATGAAACCAAAAAATATCGGAAATAGCATCAATTTTAGATTTATTCACATTTAAATGCTGGAGTGCTCTAACGAAAGCTACTTGTGGATTTCCAGCCAAGTATAAAGAAATCACACTACCACGCTTGAATTCCATAACGAATAACTTTTTTCTGGAAAATTCTCATCAAAATGCTTTTGTACGCTTGTAAGTAATATAATGAGCAGTCACTGGAATATTTTTAGCTGCTGTCGGACGGGTGGCTTTGAAATGATAGCAGTCTGAAGTTGGTTGCAGTTTTTTCATCTCACTCTGTATGGCCTGGAAATGTTTCTGGGAATCACTCATTAAACATATAATTTTATTGCTGAGTCTTTAGTGTATCACATTTGTATTTAATTACAGTTTATAGACATTTTGTGTTTTCAGTATAAAAAACGTATTATACATCCGCTTATGTTGACAATCGAACTGACGTGGACAAGGTTTTTAAAATTAGCCAAATTGAACATATATTTTACTAGTTCTAAACTCAGCGTGAAACAAAACTAACGATATGGACTTCGAATTGGTTTCAAGGAATTACTTCCAAGGATATGCAGAAAATAAGTTTATTTTTTCAACATAACCTATAAAAGTTTAATTTCTTTGCAACAACTTTCGCGTACAACTATTTCTACTTTATGAGAGAGCCAGTTACATTTCCCATTGTTCGTTTTGTTTTTTTTTTTTCTTCCTATAAAACCAAGAATGCTTTGTGGGGGGTAATATTTCCCACGAAAGAATATAAAATTTAGCAAAAATAGAAAAAAAATGAAACTTGATAATGTTTATTATTTTGTGCATTCGCAGCACTCTATCCGATTTCTCTGAAAAGGTCACTTACTTGACCTTTTTTAAAGACCTGTTGATCCTGACGGAAAATACCCCAAAGAATGGAGGTAATAAAAAGGTGGATATTTAATTAATGTTAAATTTTTCCCCTTATCGACTGAAACTAAGCGAACAATTCCCAAAGTAGGACAACCAGAAACAGAAAAAGGAAAAAAATTGTTCTCATTATCTTCCTTCTGCAGACAGAGAGAGAGAGAGAGAGAGAGTTACATGTTGCAACATTTTTTTTTTTCTGTTATTTTTTAGAAAAACAGCGAACTTTGTTTCGTTGTGGTGTTTCTGTTCCTGGTAACCCATTATGCAAATGTGCTTGAAACAATATTTACATATATTTGAATTTAATTGGAATACTCTCAAGGTTTTATTTTTCCATTAGTAAAGCTGGTTGGCCATTGGTGGGTTATAAGCATCCAATGCATAATGTTGTCATAGCCGCCGCCTCCCTATTTTACAATTAACCAGCTAATGTTGTGTGAGCTCTAGCGTATGGGTCACTTGGCTAAGTGAAATATGAATGTTTCAGGTGACCAGAAAAGCCATTAGATTGGTATTTACAAAATGGGGGAGGGTTAAGATTTATAATGTTAGTAGTTATGTTGCCTGTTTACTTTTTCTGATAGAGACAGTATGTTGAGTTACATTTACCAGAAGAAGAAATACGTGAGTGAAAATGAGGTATAGAAATTACCATAGTTAGTACCTAGAAGGTTGTTGCTATTTCTACAGATGTCTTTTAAATATAAAATATATTATCAATTTACAACTCTTATTATTGCAGTTGTATCTGACGAAGAGTCGATATTTTTTTATGCCCTCCACCATAGTATGGAGGGTATATTAAGTTTGTCATGTAACACCTCGAAATATACATTTTTTACGTCTGAAGGAATTTTGGTATTGAAAAAGTATCTATGTAGGTCCACGTTTTGGTATAGCCCCTATACAATGGTTCCTCCGTATTTCCGGTATTTTAGTGATTTAAGCGATATTATTCACCGGAAAGGTTTCAAGTTTGATATTTGTAGTTCATAATGGATACTAGAGCCTATGAAAGAAAATTGTTCGTGCAGGTCCACGCCGCCGTTTAACCCCCATATAACCGCACCTCTCGATGTTCGGTATTTTGATGATTTTAGCGACATATTCACTGGAATAGTTTCAAATTTGGTATTTGAAGTTCGTAATACCTTTTGACAAAACTTGCATATACAAGGCCATGTCGTCGTGTAGACCCTAATATAACGGCTACATTCGGCATTTTTAAGATTTTAACAGAATTTTTAACGGATTTTATTTTTTTGAAAATTGACAAAATCGTTCCAAATGGTGGAGGGTATTCAAAATTCGGCCCGGCCGAACATATAGCTTTTTTATTTGTTTTTCATTATTATTGTGAGGGTATATTAACTTGATCATTCCGTTTGCAAAATCCATAATGTATATATACAGGGTTGCCCATATTCGGCGGACCCATCTGGCAACGCCATAACTTTTGACAGAGATGTCACATTGCTTAATGATATACCGCGTTTGAAGCGTCAGTCCAAGCAGATTTTTACCATGAACCAATACACGCCACGCGAGCGCTCTGAAATAGCTGAAATTTACAAGAAGTCAATTGTGAAAACTTAACGTGCTTTTAAAACATTAAAAAATGTGAAAAGTGCGCCTTCTAAGAACACCATTAAGCGTTTATACGAAAAATTTTCGACTGGTAAGGCTCTTTCTAATCCGAAGAGGCCATATAAAAGTCGACCAAGGCGATCGGCCGAGAATATCGCTGCCGTACGAGCCAGTGTTGAGAGGTCCCCACGAACATCCCAAAAACGCCGTTCTCAGCAGTTGGGCATGGCTCGGTCCACTTTACAACGGATTATTCGCATTGATTTGCATTTGTTCCCGTACAAAATTCAATTGACGCAAAGAATGTTGCCTGCGGACAAGCGTCGTCGATTGGAATGGGCCCAAAGGGCCCAAAGGTCCGTCGAATATGGGCAACCCTGTATTCATTATCGGTATAAAATTCTTAGTCGATTTAACGATGTCCGTCTGTATGTCTGTCCGCCTGTCAGTTGAAATCACGAAACACGTTGAACTTCAACATGTGGCAGAACATTTTGTATTGTGTCTAGGATGGTTGGTATTGATAATGAGATATATTGGTTATAGCCGCCATATAACGATACCTCCCGATATTCGGTATTTTGATAATGTTTGCCACATTTTCAAATGGATTTGTATAAAACTTGGTATTTGTAGTTCGTAATGGGTTCTAGCTTTGGTGGCGGAACTTATTATATAAAGGTCCACGTTTTAGTATAACACCCATATAAAAGTACCTCCCAATATTCGGTGTTTTGATGATTTTTTCCTCCGGATTTGTCTCCGGTGGCAGAACATAGTATATATGGGTCCACGTTTTGATATGGCCCCCATATAAAAGCACCTTTGGATGATTTTATGTCCATGTTTTCCTATAGCGCACATATAACGACACCGACCGATATTCGGTATTTTAACAATCCTAGTCACATTTACCCACGAATTTTTTCAAATTTGGTATTTAAGATGATTTGGATTAGATGACAATCCTTGAAGTATAAAATTGTCTATAGAGGTTCCCTTTTTGGTATGCCCCCCCCTATTGAAATAACGGCCTCACCGACTTTATGGTTTTTTTTTGTTGAAAAGGTTAAATGCATTAATCACACGGAACTCATTTGAATTCAGATACTGTTTATTTAAAAATGTTTTCTTTACCCAATGTTGGAGGGTATTAAATGTTCAGCCAGGCTGAACTAAATGTTTTTTACTTGTTTTTTTTTTTGTATTCTTCGTTTTTTTATCAATGATTTACAAATCAATATATGGTCACATATGACATTGGCTATGCGAAATGCCACAGCATGTCTTAAGAATCTCAGACATGACAACACAGTTCCACTTCAAATATTCTTCTTCATCACCAATCGTAGTCTGCTTAGATTTCCACTCACGCAATGAGAGAAACACACACACACAACTTCCTTTGTCTTCCTTTTTTCCAGGTCAAGACGTGTGGAATGCCATCAATTCGAACGATGCGTAACCCAATTTCACGCACACAAATGTATTTTTAATGTGAAATAAAAGGACGAATATTGACGAATGGAAATTAAATCAGAATAGGATATTAACACTGTGTGACATTTGGACCAACACAAAAATCTGTGGTCGGCAAAAGCATTTCAATCATTTCAAGCTGAAAAGTTTGAGGCGGATGTTTTCGAAGAAACGTGTCTGAAATTAATATTTTTATTGAAATCGTTTCTCACATGCATAAAAATAAAACAAAATAAAATAAAAATGAGTATAGCATTAATGCCTTCACATTTTCAAGGATGTTAGTTCTTGTGCCACTATTGGTTATTAGAATTGTACAAAGAATTAACATTGCAACCTGTAGGTAGAATGGGAAAATTAATAACAAAATTCATCTTTATGGGATCTAGAAGGTAATTTAATATAATATATAATATATTAATATTACAACATTGATTGTACAGAGACATCTCCAATATTACACAGTCTTCCTAAGAAAGATTTTCCGTTAAGGTCGATTTGCTCTACGGTTAACTCTCCGTCCGTTGAACTTTGTAGACATCTGGTCAAGCAGTACAAATATTAAGACTCAACGGCGTAAAAAGAAACAATTAGAAATATAACGATCAGGAAAATAATAGAATGGTTTAATCTGACGTAGTATCCAGTTTCTCCAGCATACCGATCGATCTTGAGATCTAAATAATATACGAAAGGTGGGATGAACGGGATGAATTTCACGACAATGACAAACGGCCTCCTTTTCAGTATTCTAAAATGTTGCAGTACGGACTACCGCTGTTTCAAATATAATGAGAGGACTGCCAATGGATTCACCAGCTTCTTCAATTGTGGCGAAACTAAGACCTCTGCATAACAACGAAACCTAAAATGTCAACAAAATACGTTGACGATATTTTCACGTACCATCATCAGTAGCGATATGAAATTCACCATTGACGAAGATATCAAAGCGTTGTTTATCATATTAGGATAAACTAAAGTAAAGAAATAAGGACAAATTGGAACTAGATAATTATCAGAAACCTACGGCATCCGGAAGAAATTTAAAAATATTTTCCAAACATCCAGAGCAAATGATTATAAACACAGCAACAAATTTAGTTCATAGAATGAAGACAATTTTCACAGAAGACCCCGAATCACAAAACATGGGAAATACCAAAAAAAAAAAAAAAAAAAAAAAAAAACAGCCAAGAAAGTCCTAAAGTCGGGCGGGGCCGATTTCATGATACCCTACACCACTTTGCTAATTTAGTTGAGCTCCACATAACAATTAAAAGTTTTTATGGGAGAATTCAATCATACACCCTATGATTGTAGTTATAATTTAAAATTCAAAGAACTAAATATTTTTATTGTATCTTTTAAATTCGGACTTGTATTTCCAATTTGGTACAAAATTAATTTGAAATCAGATAAAGATATATGGGAGCTATATCCAAATTTGAACCGATCTCGATAAAATTTGGCAAAGATATTTTTGCGCTGCATTTGATATATTTCCCTGAATATCGTTGTTCCGGAGTGCATATTACGGCTGTGGGTAACAAATATGACAAATCGGATGAACAGTATATATGGGAGCTATAGCTATGTCTGAACCGATCTTCACCAAATTTGGCACACTACCTTCTAGACTCAATTCGGTCGTATGTGCCAAATTCCATCCTATTTGGGCAAATATTAGACGTTTGGTGCACAATAAAAGGTAAATCGGACGAATTTATATATGGGAGCTATATCCAAATCTATACCGATCTCTATAAAATTTAGCAAATGTATTTCTGAGCTGTATTTGATATATTTCTCCAAATATTGTTATTACAGAGTGCATATTACGGCTGCGGAGGACACAAATAACAAATCGAATGAACAATATATTTGGCATACTTATTTTCAGGCCTACTTTGGTTGTATGTGCAAAATTTCATACTATTCGGGCTGATATTACAAGTTTGGTGCACAAATCGGACGAAGATATATGTGGGAGCTATATCTAAATTTTTACCAATTATCTCCAATTTCAATAGGGTTCGTCCTTGGCCAAACAAATGATTTGTGCGAAATTTCAATTCAATCGGATAATAAATGCGACCTGCATTTTGTTCACAAGAATACATGGACAGACGGACTGACATGCATAAACCAACTCAGAAAGTGATTCTATGGAGATCCTCAAAAGTAAATGTGGGTCTATCTCGCTTCCATCTCCATGTTACAATCAAATGCACAAAGACATAATACCCTTACCACTATGTGGTGTAGGGTATAAAAAGAACAAGTAATAAAGCAGCTAAGTTCGGTCGGGCCGAACTTTTAATGCCTTTCGCCATTTGAGAAGAACTTGAAAAAATTTCAAAAAAAAAAACTTCGGAAACTATCACTTAAATGAAAACTGTTATATAGAGACTATACGAAGACGTGGACTTGTTTACGAAATTTTTTGTCATAGGCTGTACCCATTACGAACTCCAAATACCGAATTTGAAACAATTCCAGTGAATAATGTCGCTAAAATCATCAAAATACCGAATATTGGGATGAACCGTAGTATGGGAGATATACGAAAACGTAACATACATACGATTTTTTTGTCATAGGCTGTAATACCCATTACGTACTTTAAATACGAAATTTGTTACTATATATTATAAGAGTACTATAAGAGTTAAAACACCGCATGTAGGGATGTACCGTTACCGTTATATGGGGGATATATCGTGGACCTATATAGACAATACTCTTCCAGAGGGTAAAGTACTCAGAAGGAACTCCTTTTGTGGATTTTCAGACAATTTCATTGAAAAATGTGGCTACAATCGTCAAAATATCGGTAGGTACCGTTATATGGGGGCTATGCGATATCGTGGCCCGATATAGTTCATCTTCGAACTTGACCTGGCTGCAGACAAAATACAGATCTGTGCAAAATTTTAGCTTCCTATCTTAATTCGTTTAGACTGTAGCGTGATTACAACAGACGGATGGACGTACAGGGCTAAATCGTCTTAGAATTTTACGCTGATCAAGAATATATATACTTGGTTATGTCTAAAATTATTATTTTGATGAGCTACAAACGGAATGACGAACTTAATTTACCCTTCATACTATGCATGGTGGAGGGTATAAAAAAGGTATATAAACCCGTTAATTTCTTACCAAAAATATTACAAGAGTGAATATTAAGTATAATGAATTATCTGGTGGAACCCATAAAGATTCATTTTATACAATTGCGACACATAAGAAAATGAATTGTTAGCAAAATTTTCACTCAAAAGTCCAGTTAAAAAGACCGAATAAAGAAGGAAGAAAAACATTTTGATACTTACTAACTGGGTGAAAATTTTCCAGCTGAGCCTAACGAACTCAATCAGCTGTTATGTTCAAAATCTCACATTTATCGTTTAAAAAAACGAAACCGAATATTATTAAAATTATGTTCCAATTTTTGTGGACAGTTGAGTACGTGTCAATTCTTAACGAAAGACGTCTATTTAGTTGTTGAAATGTTCCCATTAGAGAGAATTTACTCTCTTTATTTAAATTTTTAAACATAAAATGTTTCTCTCACAACATGTGAGGTATTTGGATGAAAGGTTTTCTACCATTACCTTAGTAAATTAAACTACATTTTAATATTTTGCAAAGATTCCCCCAAATGAAATTAAAATTCATATTCATATTTTATACTTAATAAGTACTATGCAATTTGATTGAATGGAATTTTGTTACGCACTTGTTCCCATTGCTCGTTTGTGTGCACATCTTCCTTGAACTGCATTGCAGAGTATTTCCCACAGGCCGGTCATAAGGAGCAATTCAATTATTTTTATTTTTAATATTTCAATATAAGAGTGGGTTAGTTGTATATGACATAATTGAGAATGGGGTTCTAAATGTGCGATTTCTCACAAGAGTGAAGTTTTGAAGCATCAGCTTAGAAATTATTGGATTTAATATAAAACTTGGAACTATTTTGAATTTTGTGATACTTGAGATTTTAAAGACTTAATCGACTTTCCCGATATAGAAGATGTTTCCCCATGAAATATGCTCTGCAAATATTAAAAATCATAAACTCTTGGATCCATATTCGTTTTTCTTGTTATTTCCTAGGTATCGAAAAGCTCATTGGCATGAACCCACGGGAAATAAAGAAAATTACATGTAAAACTTTTGCAAACTGAGTACAGGTCATTTCGTTGAAAAACTGGATAAAAATCTTTAAAAGTAACTAAAATTTTGAAGTTAGTAATGTGTGGAGATATAGCAAAACTTCGCCCAATGTATCTAAGCTTGGACTTGACCAAACAAAATCATACGAAAATAATTCCCTATATTTCGATTTCTTCGAAATATAGGTAGACTGACTGGTTACTAAATGACCGAAATAAATGTCTTGGAATGTAGCACCTGTCAGATACTCACATCAGTAAAATTTGGACTCTAGCTCAATACGAACGTATTTAGAATTTTCGGACAAAAATCTTTCACATATTATTAACCCTTAGCCCTTTAGATTTTATCTACAGTTTAATTACAATGCTGAACAAGATTGACCCTCATGTAAAATTTCAATATCCTGACTCATATCAGTCGCTCAATAAGAATGTTTTAGCAGTTTGCATAAAGTTGCAAAATATATTTGTTTCACCCTCCACCTTGAAAAGGAGGGTATATTAACTTTGCCCTTCCGCTTGTAACATCCCTAAATTTTCGTCGTAGACCCCATAAAGTATATATATTCATAATCAGCATAAAATTCTAAGTCGATTTAAAGATGTTCGCCTGCCCATTTCTACGAAATTTAGCAGAACTATTTGTATTGTGTCTAGGATGGTTGGTATTGAAAATGAGATATATCAATCCACGTTTTGGAATAGCCTCCATATAACGGCACCTTCCGATATTCGGTATTTTTAAGATTTTACCCACATTTTTTTTACGGATCTGTTTGAAAATTGGTATTTGTAGGTGATAATGGATTCTAGCTCTGGTGGAGAAACATTGTGTCCATACGTTTTTGTATGTCCACGTTTTTGTATAGCTCAATATAACGGTACCTCCCGATATTCGGTATTTTGATGATTTTTTTTCCACATTATTTTCACTAATTTGTCTAAAAATTGGTAATCATTGGTCATAATGGGTTCTAGCTACGGTGGCGGAACATTG